ATATATTTTCGTTTAAACTGTATTTCCAGACTGACTTGTAATTCAATTATTTAGTTGCCTCCCCGCGTATATATTAAAGTATCATATAAAGCTTAAAAATATTATTAAGTAGGATAGCTATAATCTATATAAAATAAAATAAAACAGTAATAATAACCCGGCACTCGTCAGCATGATGGTAATAAAAAAAGCAAATGGCCGATCTATTGGCTTTCCAACTAAATCCAGCAAAGTGTTAAAATATAAGTTGAAAGAAACATTACCTGACAATTATCCAAACGTTAACACACAATAAGCACATACAAATAACAAGATAATTACGGAAATCTACTCATAGTAGATTATTTGTCAGCACACACTACCGCTACCCCCACTCGATAAATAAACCAAAAGGCCGGTTGAATCAACACCAGTCGGTTTTATCTCAGCGTGGTTGCCGAAAGAAACACTAGGCATGTGCGCAAACCGTACTTTGCAAATCTCGAGAAGAAAGCGAGTGATTGTCGTTTAAATTGTGTTACGAGGGGTTATTGAGATGTTGTTGTTAAAAATATATTTGAAATTAATTTCACGTAACATTAGTTATCATTAAACACACACGTAAACAAGTTATACAAGTAATTTAAAAAAAATCGACTTCAAAATCGTGCAGACGCCATCACTACATCTTGACCAAATTTATAGGGAACCACCCCTGAGGTACCCCCTTACTAACAAAGAAGAATCATAGAAATCGGATAAGGTGGTAAAGAATTACCGCTGAACATACATAAAAAATGAAGAGTTTGAGGATTTTCTAATGGCCCAATAATTAGATTTTCACCATATTTATATGGGATCACCCCTGAAATACTCCCTTTCTAACAAAAAAAGAATCATTGAAAACGGACACTGTGTTAAAGAATTATCGCTGAACATACATAAAAAAAATATTACGACGAATTGAGAACCTCCTCCTTTTTTGAAGTCTGTTAAAAATTATTAAAATAATTAGAAAGCGCATCTCTTGCGTTTCTCTGGATGAATTTTTTGTCAAGTTGGTGCCCTTTGTCCCCTCCGACACTGGCGCGTAGGCGTTTTAAATTTCAATGTAGGTGCAAAAGACAAAAGGTAATAAAAAATAATTACATTAGATATAAAAACCGACTACCTATAATTAATTTTGAACATATTAATTAACTAAAAAAATTGGAATTTTACAAAATATTCTATAAAATATGAAGGTACGAAGAATCGTCACAAATTTTGTATCTGAAATTCCGACTTGTAACTCGAAATTCCAATTCAGAAGGCTGAAATCACAATTGTGACTATTGACTACAGATTTCAGACCGTAACAAAAATCAAATTAGAAAATATAGAAGAACTGTCGAGTTTTAGAACTTTTATTTCAAAATTAATTAATTACAAATGTATTAGAAGTTCATGAATTTGTAAATAATTCAGAATTATGGACGATAAGATAGTAACAAATCCTATAAGAGGAAATATAAAGTAACTCTTTAGGCTCAACTTTCGTTTAGCCGAAATCTGTTATGCAAAAACTGGTGTCATAATAACAATTGTGATGCTATGAGTAAACAAAAACCCTAATCTCATGGTGAGGAAATGCGTAGTTGCCAAGTTGTAGATGATTACGGTTTTTGTTTAATTTCATTTAGCTAAAATCAGTTATGCAAAAAATGTTGCCATGGGCACGCTTGTCTTGTCATGTTACCGACTAAACAAAAACCTAAATCTCGTGTTCAGGAAATGCGTAGTTGCCAAGTAGTGGTTATTAGGTGGGTGGAACGAGCGTAGCGTGATCTTACGATGTGGCCCACATACTTTGATTTTCTTTACTATACGGTGCAAGAGAGAGGTCCGACACGCCCAACATAGGGCGCGGCCATTTTGATTCCTATGCCACAGTTTATAGCTAAAGAATCAGATCGCTCATCCACATACTTTGATTACTATACGGGGCAAGAGAGAGGTCCGACACGCCCAACATAGGGCGCGGCCATTTTGATTCCTATGACACAGTTTATAGCTAAAGAATCAGATCGCTCACTCTGCGTTGGCACTTTTCATCTCAATGTTCCAGTTTATACACTGCGCAACTCAGATAATACAATATATGACAACCGCCTATAATAAAACAGCAGTCTTCTGCGTATCCTGAATTTGTATTCCTGGAGTGGATGCTATTTTGGAACTTTCAACTAGTCCGAGTGAGCTAACTGATTCTTTAGCAATAAACTGTGACTCCAAAAATAATATTCACTGACACTGACAGCAGCAAGCAAAATATCAGGTGCGTTTTAATCATCCGCTTCTGCTTCCGGAATTGTCGGTTTAGTCGTTTTAACCTGTCAGATTAAAACAAGAAAACCGACAATTCCAAAGCAGAAGCGGATGATTAAAACGCACCTATTAAAAATATTGCGCCAAGATGTAGGCAACACGTAATAAGGGATCAAAATGGCGGAGTTTTCTATCTCCTTTTAAAAGCACATACTTTGATTCACATACTTTGATTACTATACGAGGCAAGAGAGAGGTCCGACACGCCCAACATAGGGCGCGGCCATTTTGAACCCTGTGACACAGTTTACAGCTAAAGAATCAGATCGCTCACTCTGCGTCGGCACTTTGGATCTCAATGTTTTAGTTTCTACACTGTGCAACTCGGATAATACAATATATGACAACCGCCTATAATAAAACAGCAGTCTTCTGCGTATCCTGAATTTGTATCCCTGGAGTGGATGTTATTTTGGAACTTTTAACTGGTCCGAGTGAGCTAACTGATTCTTTAGCAATAAACTGTGACTTCAAAAATAATATTCACTGACACTGACAGCAGCAAGCAAAATATCAGGTGCGTTTTAATCATCCGCTTCTGCTTCCAGAATTGTCGGTTTAGTCGTTTTAACCTGTCAGATTAAAACAAGAAAACTGACAATTCCGAAGCAGAAGCGGATGATTAAAACGCACCTATTAAAAATATTGCGCCAAGATGTAGGCAACACGTAATAAGGGTTCAAAATGGCGGAGTTTTCTATCTCCTTTTAAAAGGCACTCAGAAAGCTGCGCAGTGCGACCAATCTCCGTATAGTAAAAGAAAATCAAAGTATGTGCTTTGATTACTATACGGTGCAAGAGAGAGGTCCCACACGTTCAACATAGGGCGCGACCATTTTGATTCCTATGCCACAGTTTATAGCTAAAGAATCAGATCGCTCAATCTGCGTCGGCACTTTTGATCTCAATGTTCCAGTTTATATACTGCGCAACTCGGATAATACAATATATGATAACCGCCTATAATAAAACAGCAGTCTTCTGCAGGCGAGTTCGGATAGTCAGAGGCTGGAGCGGGACAAAAGTGGAGTTTTTTAGGGTGCTTTTAAATGACATTTAAGCGTGTTTAACTGTCACTAATCGAACTAAGCCGAACGCTAAAAGGGTCGTTTGGAGTAAAAAGTGTTAAAGGAACTGGGCAAACCGAACGCAATGTGCGTATCCTGAATTTGTATCCCTGGAGTGGATGTTATTTTGGAACTTTCAACTGGTCCGAGTGAGCTAACTGATTCTTTAGCAATAAACTGTGACCAGTGTTGTTCCTGGTTGTACAATTGTACAAAAAGTTGTACAATCAGTTATGCGGTTGTACTGTTGTACGCACTTTTGAAAAAAGACAGAAATGTTGTACAATTTGAAATTGCTAAATATTTATGTAAAATCGGGTATATAAAAGGTTTTCTTCGCTCAAGAAGTCTACGATTTGTTAAATAGCATGCATTAAAATTAATAAAAAAATAAAAGTTTAAATTTGGCGCCATTCGCGACCAATCAGTACACCGTTTTACATCAAAAATATATTTTAAACTGGAAAAAAGAAGAATTATAAGCATGGGAAAGTAGTAGGCCATAGTCTGTCAATAAAAAAGAAGAAGATTAATTAGTGGTTGTACAATCGAAAGTGAAAGTGTACAATTTTGACACTGAAAGTTGTACAATTCAAAAATCCCTAGGAACAGCACTGACTAGGTTCTTTCGTTCGTCCCACTGGTGTAGGAATGAACTACACTAACGTACACTAAACCTTTCGTTCGGCCCGGTGTAAAATCCACTAAACCTTCCTGTCGGCGATGTGGTGTCCACTGGTGGATATTTTCCCCACCAGCTATTTAGCAGGAGTGAATTACACTCGAAATGTGTATAAGGAATAAGGAGGGAAGTAAACTAAGGTAAATAAGGTGGTGTAACTGGTGTAATTTACACTGGTGGACACTACACCAATAGCGAACGAAAGAACCTATTGTAGGCGAGTTCGGTCAGTCAGGGGCTGGAGCGGGACAAATTTTAGGGTGCTTTTAAATGACATTTAAGCGTGTTAAACTGTCACTAATCGGACTAAACCGAACGCTAAAAGAGTCGTTTGGAGTTAAAAGTGTTAAAGGAGTTAAAGGAACGTGGCAAACCGAACGCAATGTGTGACCCAAAAAATAATATTCACTGACATTGACAGGAGCCCGCAAAATATCAGGTGCGTTTTAATCATCCGCTTCTGCTTCCGGAATTGTCGGTTTGGTCGTTTTAACATGTCAGATTAAAACAAGAAAAGAAGCTGATGATTAAAACGCACCTATTAAAAATATTGCGCCAAGATGTAGGCAACACGTAATAAGGGATCAAAATGGCGGAGTTTTATATCTTCTTTTAAAAGGCACTCAGAAAGCTGCGCAGTGCGACCATTCTTCGTATTAGCGCTTCAAATTAATTTTCGCGCGCCTGTCATTTGTCACCTATAAGTAGGATCTTTTGTTTATTTTAGGCGAGTTCGGTCAGTCAGGGGCTGGAGCGGGACAAATTTTAGGGTGCTTTTAAATGACATTTAAGCGTGTTAAACTGTCACTAATCGGACTAAACCGAACGCTAAAAGAGTCGTTTGGAGTTAAAAGTGTTAAAGGAGTTAAAGGAACGTGGCAAACCGAACGCAATGTTTAAAACGAGTTGTAGCACCTGTCAAATGTCATTCACCGGGGTCAAGGTCAAGATGTCAATGTCAAGTGTCTGTCAAATATGGTGACATTCAATCAAAATATTTATTTTTTCAACCATCCTTATTTTTTGATTATAAATTAAAAAATGTCTGCTTCAGCTTTAAAACCCAGTAAACTTTTCCACTTCACTGGATTATCGTCAATGTACCAAAGAATTTCAAGAAGATTTGCTTCAAAACTAGTCTATTCGGAATATGGGGACCCAATTAAAGTAATACACAAAGAGAAAGAAGACGTTTTAGAACCAGAAACTAAGCAGGTTCTTATAAAAATGTTAGCTGCACCTGTGAATCCCGCTGATATTAACACAATTCAAGGAAAATATCCTTCGAAACCTCCTTTACCTGCTGTTCCTGGAAATGAAGGAGTAGGAGTTATAGAAAAAGTGGGTCCCGAAGTTGAAGGATTGTGCGAGGGAGACCATGTAGTACCACTTACAAATAATTTAGGAACTTGGCGTACTCATCTTGTACTGCCAACTAATAATATTTTAAAGGTGGGTGAAATAGTAATTGAAACACCTCACTATTCTCCCTTATTTATCTAAGAGAGCCTCGTTGAAAATAAAATTTTAGGCTGGCCACATAAGTATATACTACTTTCAAATCGGACCATTAGAAACAATAATTATCAGAACAGATTTTTTAAGTGCCAATTAATATTTAATTTTATTATTATTGCACAATCCAATCTGATATTGAATAGGATAACCGAGCTAGATATTTCGCAGAAATCCTGATCTAATTTATCAAAGACATACCTTACGTTATTTTCTGTGGCATACATCGCCTATTGTTTTTGACAGCATGTTTCATCTACACAGGTATTTATTCAGTGCAGTAGGTGTTTTATATTAGAAAATATATGGCATATAATTGTTGTCAATAAGTATCCATCGAGGTATCCATGTTAATGAAATAAACCCCCTGAGCATTATCATGGTCGGGAAATGGTCAGACATGGCCTGGGAACAGTCATTATCACAATGACTGACTTGTAATGTAATATACAAAGGTATTTTCAAAGAAAACAACAATCCAGTGAAGTACAGCTGGTTATCTTGGACTATTTGTTCACTGTTCCCTTTTCTACACTATATAAGTCAGATCCTGTCTTTAAATTTTACAAAATAATTACATCTAACAGATATACATTTTATATATAAGCAAGACTGTGTGCAGTGGGCATTTACCATCAGGATGATAGAAGTTCACCACATTGCTACTTCCAAAAATGGGGACATGTAGAGAGACCTCTCAGAGACGTTATTAACCTGCAGGACTTTGATGAGTTGATATTCAGTCCTTATATACCTCTCTGTGATTTCAACCAGCAGGTTTTTTGACCAGGTGTAAGGAGAGTCCTATGGATGCACAATGGGCTTAGTGATGCCTAAGTGATGTGTGGCAACTCACCTTCTCTCATATTGCAGAGAAAAGAGTCATATTTATAATATACCTAGTTTACACTTGCATTTGGTTCAGCTTCAAACATATAGAACTGAACCATATTGCTTTTATGTCATAGCTAAAGTAACCAGGCTTTGTAATTTAGTTCACTGATCATTTACACTCTCAAACCTTCAAAATCACTATTATATATGGGCTATCCTAAGTTAACCACTTTTGCATAAAAAGTTCAAAGAAATAACATTGTTTCAGTGATGCTCAAACATACTATTTATTATTGTAGTACGTAATTAAAAATATTTTTTTTAACTTGGTAATGTAATAATTTAGAAAAGAAATATATTAAAAGAATTGCACTTACCTGATGCATATTGGGCGAGGATTAAATTTGAAATATTTCTTACTTAAACCCTTTGAATTATAATAAATGTTCTACACAAAGATCTGAATAATCAGCATAACATGTATTACCATCAATGATGAAATTATAATTCAAAAACAACTTGGTATTTTTATATATTCAGATTTAAATGGGAAAATCACTTTTCTAAAATTTAAAAAAAAGGCCAATACAATTATATATCAAATCAGGGTTGCATTCAAATACCATTCAAAAAAAAATATTTACAAACTAGAAAACCTATATTAGGCCAAGAATAGAATTTGCTATGCTAGTTTGGAACCCATATTTTCTTAAAGATGTAGAAATGTTAGAAAAACTTCAAAGAAAGGTAACTAGAATCCCTCCAGAACTTCAGAGGTGTAGTTACTTAGAACTTTTCGCTTTGTAACTTCAAACACATAAAGAATGTAGACTTAGAGGTGATCTGATAAAAACGTACAAATGAACTAGTGGGAATTCCTCTCATAGAAGTGTTTTAAATGTGTATCAGTATAGAACACAAAGTAAAGGAGAAAAATGCAATAAGCTCAAAAGAAGAAACTATATAATGCACCCAGTGGTATTCCATTGGAACAAACTGTCTCATTGAGATCAATTAATCAGTTTAAGATCAGCTAGATGAAGAATTGAAAAATGCTTTTTTATATCCTAGTCCATTACAACACATACCTTTTGTGACAAACTGTGATATAGGTTAATGTATTATAATTGTTCAGTTTATGATGTGTTAATATGTATTTTATAGTTAATGAACGTGAGTGACTTTTCACTGTTAGATCAGCTTCATCCATTTATCCACATACTAATCTTTATTACTAAAATAAACTATTTACCAAAAGGTTAATTAATAATTGTTGAACCAATCCTATCTTCAATAAATAAGATTGTAATAATTTCTTTTAAAGACCGGCCATTTGTTATAAAATATCTAAAAAATACAAACTTCCAAAAACAATCATTCTACGTAAGAATCATAACCATTTGAGGTTCATTATCGGTAACAATTGTACATAATATTATTAGAACATTCCTAAAGGTGAGATTATTTTACTATGACAAACATCTGCTTCTGCTAAAGTCTCTTTGATACATGTAGAACTTAAGAAATATATCTGTCGACCATTTTTCAATATTAATATAAAAATCATTATCTGTTTGTTAAAGGTACCAAAGAATTTAGGTTTAGTTGAGGCAGCCACACTAACTGTAAACCCATGCACAGCCTATAGAATGTTAAGAGATTTTATACCTTTAAAACCAGGAGATACAGTCATCCAAAATGGAGCAAATTCAGCATGTGGGCAAAATGTTATCCAAATTTGTAGATCTTGGGGTGTAAGGACAGTAAATGTTGTGAGAAGCAGACCTGATATAGAAAAATTAAAATCGTATTTAATGGATTTAGGGGCCACACATGTTCTAACTGAGGAAGAGGTGAGGTCTACAGATATTTTCAAGGCAGGAAAAGTTGATAAACCAAAATTGGCTCTTAATTGTGTAGGAGGAAAAAGTGCTCTGGAAATAATGAGGTAAAGTAAATTAAAATATGCAAGTTTCATTATATAATTAAACAAAATAGATTATACCTAATGAGTAAAAATTAAGTTTGTTACACTATTTTCTATTGTCTATGTCAATATTTGCTTAAATTTTTTAATGGAGTAAAATTCATTTTTACTTAGTATATATATTTTTTTAATAAATAAATTATAACATTAATTTACAATAATTGAGCGAAATTACTGTATGTAAAAAATAAATGACCATTTAAATGTCCGCACAATATTCTCCGCAATTATTAAATTTAATGTTTGGGAGACTTTGGAATTTTTTATTCGTTATTTAAAATGGGTCGCGGTAAAGCAACTCCAAAAAAAAATAGGGATTTGATCATAAACAAATATAAACATAAGTTTCCCAATAAATATCTGAAATAAAATTATGAAAAGGCCGAACATATAGTGGTTAGAGCTCGTATATGTCGATATTAGTATTACAGAAATGATTTACGTTAATACTGCCGTCCTAAAAATAGATGCTGTATCTACAAAAAGTGAGATTTTGAAGTTTTTGTATCAATAGGTTCATGGCAAGCTAAATTGACTTCTTACCAAGTATAAATGCCGTATATGTTTCCGAAATATTAAAAATTCAACATAATTAGCCGCATCTGAATACTTTTACCGACTAAGGAAATAACTGTACACCTCATTGTCACCGCTTGACGCTCTCAGTAGATACGGCATCTGGTTTTAGGACGGCAGTATACGTAAAATTTATTTATCCCTCGTAAAACATCAGTAAAATATATTATAAATTGTTTTCATTCACAAATATTAATTTCTTAAAAATCTAACAGAGGCGCCACTTTTAAGACGAAAAATTTTGCAATGTAAGGGTTTCGTAGTACCCCACTATTAAAGTTTATTTTTGACCATTTTTAAAAGAAAAAAATATGTACGTGTAGGTAAAGATTAAATCTGTGCTCCTCTGGAACCACTTTTTAAAAATTCAATTTAGTTTTTTTCTAAAAAAAATTGATAAAATGGGTTAAAAAAGTCGAGTTTTGTATTTCTTTTTTAGAAAAAACATTTTCAAATTTTGAAAAAGTGTCTCCAAAGGAGCGATTTAACTTTTACCTACACGCACATATTTTTTTTTTCAGAATAAGTCAAAAATAAACTTTAAAAGTGAGGTACTACAAAACCCTTACATGCTCTGCTTTAAAGCCAAGTAAATACTCCTCTTAAAAAGAAAAAAATACTTGTCACGTTAATGCGGAAGTGGAATTCCCATTAAAATCAAGGATGAAGACTAATTAATTTTTTTTTAAGTTTATTTTATAAATTAGTAAAAGTTTTAAATTATTTTTTAGTTAGTTTTTCTTAATAATCTCTAAATTAGTCTTTAGAATTTTGTAAATTTTCATTAGTGAGTCATAGAAAATATATGTACATCTCGTAGATTGTCCGTATCGCACTTAGGCGATTGAGCACCTTGCCTCCGTCTTCGTGCGATGTGTCCATCATATCCTTTCTTGTTGTACAAACTACTGTTTCACACGCATTACTTCTTCATTGTTTCTGATTACATAATAAAGCAAAATAAAGATAAACCATTTGTTCACATATACGTAGGTACATGCACTTAACACATGTGTGCACTAAACTATCGATATAGATTTTAGTATAAAATATAACTAATAATTATGTTATGAGATAACTCTTGCAAAATAAATATTTATAGTGGTAGCTGTAGAAAAATACTATTATATATTGTGTATTCAACCATATCCATATCCCACGTGACCAAATTGATTATCATCATTAATAACTTCATGAAAGTCCTTGGCGGCCATTTTCATTAGCTTTCTTGTTTTACCAGATCACGTGGGATACGGATATTAGAAAATGTATTGAAGTAAATTTGGGATCATTACTAGTAACTCTTGCAAAAAACTTATGGGGCTTGCTGTAAACTTTCTCCTTTTAACTTCTTTTTACATAATTTATACAAATTCAATTTTTTTTAATAATTAATATTTTTAGGTACTTACAAAATGGTTGTCCAATAATAACATATGGTGGTATGTCCAGGGAACCTGTTACAGTACCAACGTCGGCTTTAATTTTCAAAGATATTAAAGTACGTGGTTTTTGGATGACCAGGTGGTCCAAAGAAAAAAGCGATAGTGTCGAGAGGATAGAAATGTTCGAAGAATTGATTTCTATGATGACAAATAACGATTTACGAGGTCCAGTTTATGAAATGATCAAATTCGATAATTACACGGAAGCTCTGATGAATACGATGACAGTTAAAGGAATGATAGGGAAAAAATTTATTTTAGATTTTAGTTAAATAAGTTCAAATCATGATTCGGATATAATAATCTGATGCTTTTATTTTATAAAGTGTTAAGTATGTACCTGCTCATTAAAATTATTAAACCTATATTTTACAAATTTTGTCTAATTTATATTTAGTGTTTGTTATCAATTTAAATATTTTTATAGTCCGAAAGTTTTAAATGACATAAATTATCTAATTTTTCTCTAATGTGGTAGTAATATAGAGTAAAATCTTAAGTTGAGGTACCCAGAAGTAAAAGGTTAGTAAAGCAAAAAACGAAAGTTTTCAGATAATTAGTGTATGAAGTTCAGAATCACATTGAAAATTCGAGACTGAATTGGTGGTTCCCACCTTATCTGAACAGAAGTACCCCAAGCAAACACGTAGCTAAAAAGAAATAAATTCTTTATTTGTGAACAAAAGATGATGAGAAATATCGAGACGTTTAATTTTCAGGTTTGTGAAGCATCTGCTTTACTTGGGATAAATCACATAGAGGTTCTTCACATTGCTAGACCTCATTTTTAAGAATCATTCCATATTTGAACTTCAAACAATTATGTAAAGATATTGGGGCCCTTTACTCCTTAAGGCTGTTCAAGTAAAAATATTTAGTTCCTTTACTTTTTAAGCCAGCATATGTAAAAATGTTTGGCCACTTTACTTCTTCTTAACCATGCATGTAAAAATATTTGGATCGACTACCTCTGAACATTGCACATGTAAACATATTTGGACCCTTTACTTCTGCGCGTGTACAAATATTTGGTCCTGTTTACCTCTTACGCTTGCCCATGTAATAGTTTGGTCATTTTTACCTTAAACCAGTCCATATAACAATTGATTCCTGTATGCCTTAAGTATAAGCCCGCCCAGGTCAAAATATTTAATCCTTTCACTACTTACGCCTGTCCCTGTAAAAATATTTCATCATTTACCCATTAAGCTCACCTGTGTAAAAATATTTAAGCTTTCCTCCTTAAGCCTGTCCATGTAAATATATTTGGGGCTAATGAGGCCTAAGTGCCGTGGGGTAACCCACCCTCCACACGTTACAGATACAGATATTTGGGCCCTTTACCTTTTTGATTCTAATATTTAAAAAAACTTATTTGCAGGAAACGATAATTCTCAAAAAATAATAGAGTGGTGTCATTGCGGGAAACAACTATATTCGAACTTCTTCTTTGGGGTTTGTTACGGGAAACGATTATTTTATACGTGTTTACTGACGACCAGATATACAGAGATATGTTTTATAGGTTGCAAAAATTTGTATCTAATATAAAAAAATGTCTGTGGTTTCACAGTTTACAAACATGGTTATCTAGTGAAGTACCCGTGCCGCATTGCATAAAATAAGCTCCATAATAAATGCATTGCGTTTAAAAAATACTGATATTTAAAGCGATTGAGTTAAACAGAAAAATTTAACAATCAATAGGGTTCTCGACTGGAAGAAATTATGAAGTAAATCTAAACTGCAACAGTGGTTAGAAACATGTAAAAAAGTGGGAGTAAAAATTTTGTCGATTTTGGTTTATTAATGTCATATTGTCGCACGCAAAATAGTTGAAGAATGAAGCTTATGTTTAAACGGTTTTTGGTGACATTTCAGTTGAAATTCACTACTTTTGCGTAAAAGAAAATCAAAGTATGTGACTTTTGCTAATAAATTCCACCTGACAGTTGGTTAGTAACTAACCGAGTGTTACCAATTGACATATTTTGCGAAAAAATCCCCACAAAAAAAAAGTAAATAAAGCCCAAAATCGAGAAAACAGTAAAACACACGTTCCAGAAGGCTTTTTCGCACTCATTCGTTCGTCCACTCGCTCCTTCGTAGCTCGTTGCCACATTTCGAATTCGTTCGAGAATACAGGGGTCGGCATAAGTCAGGCAACAAATTTGCATAAAAAAAATGCAGCGTAAAAATAAATTTATTCCAAGAAATTACAAAAGGGATTCGAAAAAGGATTAGTTTAAGTGTTCAAATTGATGCTTATCTTGATCAATGCATTGACATCATTGTTTCGCAACGGAGAGACAGGTCAGGCGAAGCATGATAAGGTGTCCGCGAAGATTTTCAAATTCTTCAATTGCAGTTCGGAGCTCGAGAAGGATGCGTGGTACGGGCCATTCAAAGATTCCTCGGCTGCCTATCCATTCTCCAAAATGATCATTAATGAACTCCCGCACACATAACGCGTAGTGCGGCGAAGCTCCATCCTGCATGAAATGACGGATGTTCGCGAGTGTTGGATCGTTGTCCATTTGCCCACGTAAATCTTCGAGCATGCATTTCCAGATAACTTTGGCCAGACTTATGCCGATTTTTCGAGCGTTGCCAGACTTATGCCGACCCCTGTATATATATGGCCTTCTGCAACTTGTATGTTAATATACTATTCTCGGCACAAATGCCATACTGAGGGCTCAGTAATTCTGAGACATTAGCAGTGGCGGCTCGTGGGCACTAGCGACACACTGGAAAGGAATCCCGGGATTCGTTTTTCCCTTAGGAAAACAAGTTCTCCGCTTAATGAAAATTAAATATATTTCAAAACAATCAGTTGGGGCAATAACGATTTCTGAATGTGACTACAGGGAGTTAAATGTGACCACTCAAAATGCATTTAACTATGTATGTGGCTATTTAATCAAAAAATCATTACATAAATTTCTCAGAAGAATGCAATTTACTTAACAATTCTAACTTGTTAACGCATTTTAAAGCATACGACTCTGAAGAAAAGGTGTTTGGCAATTTAAAATCTCCCAGCGAAAATGTCTCTTTTATATTTTCAAATTAGAAAAAATATTTATATCTCTATTTGATAGTTTATCAACTAAACCTGGAATTTCCAATGAATACCTTGCCAACAATTTGCGAAAATGTACACCATTAAATTATTTATAAGACTCAGAATTTTTTATACTCCTAAATATGCAAACAGAGATTTGAAATCCTCGAAAAAGTCAGGCAAAACCAAAAGAAAATTTTTGTCCCATTTATAAATATTATTGATTTTTGTTTCATCATATTTTTGACTGCTTTATAAAAAAAAGTTATTTTTCTTTGTAGTTTTATTTCTTAACTATTCCAATGGTCCAACCACATCCCCAACTACTCATTCATGAATTTCAAACACTCCGTGGCCAACAATAACCGAAGTTAAAGTGAGAGGGATAGATGTTCACAAACAAGTGTATGAGAAGATGGCGGCCTCTTTATGTTAAGAGCCATGGGCGTATCGTTATAGAGGGATATGAAATAACACATTAATATAATTTATGAAATTAATATTTTTGTATTTAAATCTCTAAAATAAAAAAGGAGTAGGTATATATGAGATTCCGAAGGAGAGGGTTAAATAAAAAAATGTTTATTCGTTCTAAAGCTAAGTTCCATTTAGTGAAGATTTTTATGAAATTAATAATTAATCGGGCAACGAGCGAATATTTGAGGGACGAGCAGAGCGAGTCCCTGCAAAATGAACGAGTTACACAAAACGACATTTCGTGACGTGTTACATACAATATTTTTTCTAATTTTGACTAGATTATTTATAAAATTAAGATGTTTGGAAAGATCTTACTGACAAAGTGTTAAAAATAATAGGTAAACGTCAAATCGCCTGACAATCATAAATAATAACTTACTTATAATTTGGATATGGATATTCCTAGTTTTTCTCTGTAAAGCCATGTCAGTTTATTAATTGAAACAGTGTTTTGATTATTTTGGGCGTTTTTAGGATGGATCGACAGTTTAAATTAGTAACGGAACCATAATTAAAATTACTAAATAATTGTCAATTCACTGATTACATATATTTTTATATAGCCAATAATATTCCGTTGTTCGATATAAACTTACCAAGCAATGATTATTATTTTTGATTTTAAAACCAAAACAGCTTTATTTTTATATATTTTCTTTCGCGACTAGTGTCAAAATGATCTACTCTATGTAACTAGTTACTTAATGTTTAACTAGTGACATAAAGTAGATCATTTTGACACTTATTGCTGGGATTTCACAAAAGTCACTTTATATGTTAAAATTAGAAAAAATATTTTAATATATTACAATTCAATATTTTTCTATTATCAAGTTACTGAATTTGTAGACAGAAATAAAACAAAGTCATAGTCTCAAAGAATAATAAATATTATTCTAACTTTATTTATTTACGGGAAAACCCAATTTTACAACAAGTAAGAAATATTAGTAAGGACCGATTCCACCGTTGTATTGTCATTTTAATCTCCGTTTAATACAACGGTGGAATCGGCCCTTACATGCACAAATCTATCATGTAAAACATGACATACATCAACATACTGCAACATTATTATTATTAAAATAAATTTACAAAATATATACAGATAAAACCCTATTTTCACTAAAATAGTTACGATTCCTATACAGTATGTGTATCACAAAGAGAAAAAAATGTATTTTAATTTTTTTTATTGATTTTGGAAAAGAATTACTTTTGTATTTATACTTCTAATTCTTTTTCTTTTCGCAAGATCCAACATTTTTTTAGTTTCATAATGTATTCGCACCTTGAAATAATTTTTAAGACATAGTTTTATTAACTGAGTGGAATGAGAATCAATAAATGATGTTTCATACAGGTGATCTCCAAAATGATTATATATATATATCACTACTCAAAGATCTCATTACATTGGTAATTAGAATATCTATTAATATTGTGTTGTACTTATTTGATATACATTAGGATACACAGGAAATATTGTAAAATAATAACACTCATTGAACCAACTTTTTGACTCACCCTGTATACGTATATTTTTTATAATAAGAAAGTGTCATTTACAAACACTTGTATAACCAAATATAAACAATTTATATTTAATCATTATTTTGGAAATTAAACGATTTTTTAAATATGCAGTTTTTTCCTTAATTTAAAAATATAGGTACTCACCCTATATAGTTTGTTTTTCAAAAAGTTGGCATTGTATTCTGGCAGTCACAAATAACAACATTCACCTGTTGAAAGTTTTTTTGAAAATTATGAGAATTCACAGGTTCAACACCCTGTATCTCAAAAGCAGTCATAGAATATCTGTGCCCAACGACACTATTAATCTGGAGGTCAAAAACTGTAACAAATATTAAATGTTTGTCTATGTAACCAAAGTGATTTTATTCAATGTTAAAAAATACTTACATTTTCTTGACTGGACTATCCTGCAATATACTTCTTATAGTTGATTCACTATCTGATTCAGCACTACTGGTTGAAGGTGTTAATGCTCTAAATAGAATATATGAAACCATTATAATTTTTAAAGTGGATATTGATAAATAAGGAAACTTAAATAGTAGAACTATATAACATTATGATATCAGAACCTATAAGATATACGAGTATATAATTATTGAAATGGGGCCAAAATTGTATATTTTAGAGAATGATGCTATACTTATAGACAGGAAAATATTCGGGAAATTATCTAAAAAACAAATTAAGTATGCATTTTCAAACTAAACAAACATTATTTGAATAAGTACATGAATACAGAAAGTACTCTCATTCACATTATTTCTCAATATTTTTAAACGTAATTGACAAAGCAGAATTCGGAATATCTTAGATTTTTTTATACAGTATTTTGTTAACTTTCTTTACATTTATACAATTTCTTATATGCCTAAATATAATTCTATTTTACTTTGATATAGGTTTGGCATCATTCTTCAAATATTTCCTTCCATATTCAAAATCGTTGAACAAATCTCAAATCCTAACAAAGAGCACCAAATCTTTCTCCTCTCAGAATCAACAGCAAACCTAAAAGGCATGTAACTATTTAATTGAAAAATTACCTGATAAGAAATACAAAATACCTAGGTAGTAATACAGAAAAATGAAATGTACTTTAGTTGTTAACTCATTTTCATAAATTTAAAGCAAAAAAATTGAACATGCATAATTTTACATAGCTGAAATAAGTAAGAAACAGTTTTTTTGTTGTTAAAATATTGACTTTTTACCAAAAATAAAAAATTGTTACGCCTGTGACTATGTTACTATAACCTCTATTTAAACGATTTAAGCTTACCTGTGAAATGTAACATCGGGATTTAAATAATCCAGTTTTTTGCACACTAAACACTGTTTAACCATATTTGTCTAATACAATAAAATTAAAACAATAAGTCAATGTAAAACACAAAAAAATAAATTTATCCGTCAACAATAACACACAAACAAACAACGCTGGCAAAGAAGAAGATGGCCGCCCAGAAAACAATCGTAAAATTCTATAGCTACTCGCCTACTATGTTCATTCCACATAGTGGTTCATTCATGAAAGCAAAGCGCTGTTGCCACAGTTTAAGAATTCCGGTAGAAATTTAGATCAATCGCAAAGCATCTTTGTCAACATTTATCCATTTGAAACGATTTCCGATATTATTAATTTCGAAAATTAATTCAACCGTTTTAACATATGTAAAATCGGTTTATCAAAACAAAATATATAATTTTCCATGATTTCCATGATAATTTTAACATATATGTAAGGTTTTGGCAATGACGGAAAAAATTATAGTAACTGTGACAACATTGAAAGGTGATATTCGCACGACGGTTAGATTGGACAATATTGTTGGTGCGTGCAAAATTGTAAACAATCGTTATCTTATTTATTCTTTATCTATGGGTCCAACTAACGTTTTTTCGTAATCACAATAAATTATTATCATGGTCCAACAAACGCGCACATTAAGCCGAAACCGGCTTCGCCTTTGTGAGGGGGCCGGTAAAGATGCCTCTGCGTACATTCATATCTGGTCTAGGTAATCTGTGCTATGGGTAACGCACGTCACGCTGAGGACAGCGCCCTGCTTGTGACGTATAATCCATCGCATGTGTTCATCTCTTGCTAAGCAATATTGTCGTTGTACTTGTTTTTCGCATCATAATGAGAGAGAAAACAACAGAGGCACACATTTACTGTGCCCATCTTCTTTCGGAATTCTCGGAGTGTCGCTCAACGCCCGGTCGTCCAGTGTCGTGCCAACGCGGTTTGCGCTGAATATTAGATAAAATAATAATAGGCATTGAGGAAAATATAAAATATGTAAATTATTTTTTTTTGTTTATTATACTAGGGCACGTGCCCAAGTGCCCTTACGGGCAAACCGCCACTGGACATTAGTGATAATTTTATTAATATAAGGTTTGTTCCAACTCATGCATACATGCATTCGTAAACTAATCACTGCGCATGTCAGACCACTTATTCGTCTGTTGTTTTATGAGCGACTTGTACTTGTTGGAACGCAAAATTCAATGGAATTGGACAAACCAAACACATGCTTGGTGAATAGGTATATTAAACATTATTTAAAATTCAACACAATACATTTATTTAGCCATCTCAAACGATCTATATAAATGTATAATTTTGAAACATAAGATGTTTATTTTTATTAAAAATAAGTACGTATTTTACGTAAAAAAACGTACACAAGACAAAAAAAATTATTGATTTGAAAGAAATAAAAACCCAAGCCACTCCAAGCTAACTTAAAATCACAACAATAACAAATAAAAATAGCACGAACGAGAAGGGACGTTCAAATGCGCATGTGCTGATAAATTGTACAAGCGACGAAGCTCTTATTGTTTTAACAATCCTTAGACTCATTCGTGTACGAATCAGAAAATACGTTGAGACGTTTTAGTGACAGTTCATCGGATTATCCGTGGCTTCGTAGGAACGGACTATTTTCAATGCGCATGCGTTTAACGTTCTTCTGACGATCAGATTAGCTGTTGGAACAAACCTATAAATTTGTTTTATACATATTTGATAATTTGTATAAAGTATTAATAATTAGTGTTAGCAAATGATCGGTCATTTATAAATTGATAAGTGACCGGTGACTTGTGCGGGCATTTTCGTTCGTGGATAAAACTTGTATTTTTAAATGTTTCTTTATGAGCTCTTCAACGATACCAAATATGTTGGGTATGGGTACTACAAGGATATCAAGATAACTTTATCCTAATTTTTAGATATTCAATATAATATTCCTATTGTTGACTTTCAATGCACAATACATTAAATTGGTCACATTCAAAAGTGACCGGTAACTTTCTCAATTACATTCTTTACTTTTGAAAGTGACCGCCAATACTATTAACAACAATAATAATAATAAATTAGTAGTCTTGGCACAGGATTTTGCTTTGCAAGCTTAACATAGTCACTTACATCTCTTTTTATTGACCAGCCATTGTTTAAGAGTTTATTAGATATTAAGATACGAGAGAATGATGAAATAAAAGTATTTTAATAGCTATTTAATATGAGTTGTATACATATTTTTGTCTACGACCATTCATCATGAGAAAAAGCACTTTATTTTCAAAATTTATTAGTTATAATGAAATTAAATATAATTAATGTGGAAATTATGGAAGCACAAAATCAAAGTATAACAAAAAAATACATTTGGGGTTCTTGTGACCTGTTATACAATACTAGGACTTTTTCACAGAGTTTACTGGCAAAAGCACAACTTTTTGGAATTTATTAGCTATGTTAACTGTTGTGTTGCAGCTAATTTCAGTATTGAATGAGTACCAAATATTACTGTGAACTGCAGGGAGGAGGTAAGGGATGGAGATGACATCACATGATAAGTAACACCATTTTCGCCATATTGGTATGAAATTTTGACATTGTATGTATAGGTGTTATTACATTGCGTTTCTCTTTAATAACTAAAATAGACTAAAATTTTAATAATTAAAATAATATTGCATTGTACAATAATTATTAGTTCAAGTAAATCTAGTGCAGATAAGAAAATATCTTCAGAAATAAAATATCACCCGTAAATGTATACAAAAATCACTTTAGAAAATTGGATTTTTATTTACAAAAAGAACCAGGTAACTTTTTAAAGCTTTCCTGAATAAAATTAATTTTTAATTACAATTTTTAATATTGAATTAAAAATGTTAAATGTTTCTATTCCCACTGTTAATTTGCGGTGCCATTTAGTAAGTATAAGGAATAAGGATAAATCTAAATGACACCTCCATCTCCGTGAACTGAATGTTGCATTTATATTGGTTACGCCTCGTATCTTAATGAAAAATTTATCTCAATAATGTATGGGAGTAAAAAAATTATGTTGTAAATTGTTATAAATCTCATAATTTTTCATGACAGTTGGTAACGATGGAAATTTTGACAGATTTTATGTCAAAAAATGTCCCATAAAAATTAATCTTGTTTTTAACTATTAAACTTACCAATTTCATATAACTTGTACTGTAGTTTACACTAAATATTACTGTCACTGAAAACACAAATGTCGTATAATAAAATTTTATTTACAATATATTCAATTTCAAATATAAAAACAGTAATTCCTTACTAGAACTACCAACAATAAAATTTTATAAATAATTCACTGTTATATCATGAATTCGAACCGGACATTTGATTATTAATTTTAATGTTTTTGTTACTATTTTTTTTAAGTGAGTTAGTACTAGATTTCCCCTTTTCAGTACCCGAATCGTTATCAGAACTAAAACTAAGGCTATTTCTAGCTTTACCATCGTCACTGACACTTTTACTTTCACTTCGGCTCTTTCTTCTTTGACTCATGTTATCTTTTAAAAATTGACTAAGCTGATGAAACCTGTGTTCCCACATAAGGTTTTGTTTCTGCACCAGATCGCCGTGTTTGTTGATGAAATCTTGGTCGGCAGGGAGATGCAATTCCCATTCCTTGTTGTGACGACGAAGTTTTGATATGCCAGTGAAAATTTCCTTGATTTCCTCTGAAGGGATCTTAAGAATCGATGAAACTTTTTTCCGTTCAACATATTGGTGTTTTGTAAATAAATACAACTAAAAAAAAATATATACATTTAATTGTTTTACTGTAAATCACAGTGCATTGAATATTTGGTGATTCTACAAGAATAGAGAGATATTGCAAATTTCTATAACGTCAGCCACTACTAGTGACAACGTAATTAGAGGCAAGTAACTTCCATGGTAAAATAAGACTTATTGCAAACCTGAAATTTTGACATTAGATATTTCTAACCTCATTTTAAAAATTTTACATTACAGTTCATCTTTTTTCTTGTCTATAATAATACATAATATTGACGAGGCATTAGAAATTATAATTTTAGAAGGTTTAGGTGACGATGCTATAAATATTTAATATTAAAAAACTTCGAACGGATACGAATGTCGGCGAGCGCACCCGAAAGCTATAAAGTCGCTGCCAACTGTTGTCCTTAAAAATCTACAATTAACGACAGGCACAATCTTTGATAAAATCAGTTTTAGAACATAAACGATCTGCGCATGTTTGTGTGTCAAAATAAGAGCGGCACTAATAGTAACTGACCTTAAGTGAACTTGCAATAACTCTCTAATCACTGATGAGTGATCCACGAAGATATTTCTAAAATAGGCTGTGACTGACAAAAACACAGTTACAAGTTAAGTTCATGATAACTACACACGGCTCTGAATTAAATACTAATTGACACTTAAAATTGTACATATCGCACCTTCGGTAAGACAAGGGCATAATTACATTTTATAACAAATCACGATATTAGCCATTGAAAAAAAAAAAAAAATGCGTTCAATATCATATGGATTCGATAATATCGCTTAGAACTAATTCCTCTTTGCATGAAAAATGCATTATACTTTTTTGAATAGGGGCATGTTATCCACAGGACGGAAATACCTCTCATTTTTTTAATAATATTTTTAAGAAAAATAAAATTTACATTTATGCCCTTGTTGTACCAAAAGTCAGTTAACTTTGCAATTATGACCGTAATCAAGCTTAATTTATTCAATGATTTTGGAATTGAAATTACTTTCTTTTCGCAAAAACATTTTTATTTCCTTGTAACTAAAAGTAGTGTTAGGCGTATAATATTAAATATACCGAAGAAAACATAATACTAAAAATAAACATGTTAGGGCCGATTCCACCGTTGTGTTAAACGAAGTTTAAAAAGACATTTTTTACATTAACAATGTCATTTTAATCTCCGTTTAACACAACGGTGGAATCGGTCCTTAAAGACACAAAAAATAATAGACTGATAGAACATTAGGTATGAAAGTAACACAATGAGGAACGTACCTAAACACAAGATAGTTGAGAGTTTGTTGTTACATTTGCAAAAACTAATAATATTATAACTAAAGGTATACATATTCAGTTTTTGATTATTACGATAACATTTACTTAAAATTGCAATTAAAATTAAATAAGGTATTATAAAATGGTTAATAGAAGTTTGGAACTATATTAGAAGCAATCAATTGACGGATATCTTTTTTTTTTGTTTGAAATTTTTAATCATGGGTATATGCACATAAATATTGTTAATAACAACTTACAATTATGTATTTGTTTTTATGTTTTGTAGTTGGTGGTGTATGTGTATTGTTTGAATTTTTTATTATTGAACTTTGTTTTGATTTTATTATACATGAAAAAGATGACAAATGTAAAATTTAATTAATTTTACAAAAAAAAAAAATCATTCTTCATAAATTTGTAAAATATTTAGTGGAAATATAGCGAAAATATTGATTTATGCTGAAGAGTAAAGTGCTTTTAAATTTAATTACACAACAAAATATCATTTTGTCATTTTCTGTCAAGTTTAGATTCAAGACCTTCTAATAATTAATCAATAGAATTAGCCCCTCTGAGTAAAGTTGAAAGTAACTTCTTGCTGATTAGACTAATAGACATATCAACGACCTGTCAAAATGCTGCCCGTGAGAACTGACAGGTTATGATATGGCAACCATGTGAGCCTGTTGTCATTGACAGGGGCAATGACACATAAATATATAAATTGCTCAAAGCGGGGTGTTTTGCGAGCGGCCATATTGCTGGGAAGTGCTCATTAATTAGAATCCGTTTAGCAAAAATGTGTTTTAAAACTAATTCTCAGACTTTGAATATATTAAAAAAAATTAATTACCTACATTTTTACTTGAAGGCATAAGCATGTTTATTTTGAAAAACATGGCTTATCAATCTATATAACCATCTATATAATTGACCCTGTCAAATCACCAAGCCCACAGGTTGCCATATTATAAAGTGTCATTACCTACGGGCAACCATTTTGATTTTGTACGAAAGCTAAACAGTGTGCTCTGATGGTCCATTTATGTATCTGGTTCAAAATATTGTATTTCCAGGCTGTATTAAAAGCACTTTTTGATCAAAAAATATAGCGAAGTATTTTTACTTGGTCGCGAAGGCTTCGTGAACATCGCTTTGTAAATCTACGATAGTCTACGGCTGAACGATTTTGTCTGAAGCCATTTTGTTCTGAAATAGATGATTTCATTGGAAGATATATTGCAGTTGCAAGGTCATTGCAAGAGCTTTCGTCATCTATCAGTTTATATAGCAAGTAATAGAATCAGGACTTATTTCAAAGGAAAATGTAAAAATGTAGTTTCGGCAATCTGTCCAAGGTTATGGCGTCAGGATACATTTCTTCTTTTTTACTTGTCTTCTTCTATTGTTGTATTGGTTTACTTTTTCACTATCTACCCAGTGCCAGTGTTTCATTTTTAAAAATATTTTATTTTACAAAAATCAGCCATATGAGGCCTAACAAGCGCTTCTTTACAAGCCAGATAGCTCTCTGATAGTGCTAGTGAAAAACTTCATTTGAAAGCTAATTGTATGAATAATTTAATGCACAAAATAAAAAAAGCATAATTGAATGAAACATGAATTAAAATAATTATTGAAAACCCTCAAGAGCTCTAACATTAAGATATACAAACTTGTAAACACAATCAACTGAACTAATGAATTTATATTCGCATTAAATTCTACTAATATATAAATGCGAAAGTTTGGATGGATGTTTGTTGCTCAATCACGCAAGAACGGCTGAACGGATCTGGAGGAAATTTGTCACAAAGATAAATTATGGTCTGTAATAGCACATAGGCTACTTTTTATCCCAGAAAAATAAACGGTTCCCGTGGGATAGATTTGTTTTGTTTTTCACAGACATGATTTTTTGCATAGTGGTAGTGAAACATAAAACATGAAATAAAGCTACTGAGCATAAATAAATACTAACGTGTTTCAGGATTTTTGAATTTTCACATTTTAAGGTGAGGAAACGAGGGGTTTGTATGTAAATATCGATTTTTATAAAGGTAGGAACTTGAAAATTGGAATTATAGCTACTCAACACAAATAAATAATGGTGTTTCAGGGATTTTGGATTTTCATATTTTAAGGGGATAAGGGGAGATATGAAAGAACGAGGAGAAATGTGAGAAAGAGGGTTAAGAGGGCAAAAAGGGGTAATGGGATAAGGGGGAAAGTTTGTATGTGTGGATTACTTTTTAAAGGTAGGAAATTGAAAATTAAAATTGTAGCTTCTTATTATAAATAAATATCTCAGAAAAACAAATGAATAATAGATAAGTAACGGTCTGGATGTGTTTGAAGCTAATATGAACCGTTTTATCTATTAATTTCTCTTTCTTATTGGTCTTTGATGTGATTCGTCCATTTTAAATAGCAGCGCCATTTCCTCACAAATGTCAACAACTGTCAGTTTTGTTTGTACATTTTGTGTGATTTTATATTCCCAGAGCATATTTTTTATGGTGTCTAGAATGTTTGTTTAACGAATTTTGTTAGTTGTAAGTCTAAAAATTATTATTCAATGTTTGTTTGCCCTAAAACAAAGTTCCACGTCGTTTCAAAGGTAAGTAAATAAAACACATGGGCGGTACACCTATATTGTAAAATATTATTAGTAATTTTTTACGCAGGCTTCCTACAAACTGAAGCAATGGAAATTTATATGCAAATCCTAGAATTGGAGAAGGTTGAAGTTGATAAAATTAACATAAATTGGAAATATAAAATATATTGGAAACATTTTATAATATTTTGTTATGAATTCTGCCGGAAAAAACGAAATTAAAGCTGGAATCAATTCCTATTTTATTCACTTCTCAACTTGGTCCGTCTTAAAGTAAGTTATACAAGTAAGTGAAAATAATATTATGTAATACAATACCTAATACAAATTATTCATACATTTTAAACTTGGAGATTAAATTTAAAAAATAAATGCTATATTCTATTCTCCTAAACAAAGTAAAATAAATCTTAGTGCTTTCTGGAAAGAAAACATTTTATGAAAATATAAACTACTCCAAAGAGTTTCTTGTATCTTAGCAATGAAATGAATTATACTTATAGAATGATTATGTTGTAAATATTTTATAATTCTTTTTAGGGAAAATTTACTTCCTAGTGAATGTAGTGAAAGACAGAGTCTAGAAGAGATTTATAATTATAATATGCACATACTGGATCAGAAAATTCAAATTGTTCCACAGACATTGCTCCAGAAGCTATAATAGGTTATTCAAATTATAAAGAAGACATCTATAAAAATGCCCAAATTCAGAGACAAAAAGTTATGCTAAAAATAATAGCTAATAACTAATAATAATGCCCGTTTTTTAAAAAATATTTGTCACATCATTTTGGAGATTTTTTAAAATATATATAAAATTCCAAAAACTGTTAAAAGTTTATAAATGAGAAGTGTGTTTAATCTAGAACAAGTCAAAGAGGGTTATTTTCTAACTTTCATCCGAAAATGCATATCAACAAAAGCGCCAAGCGGACTTCTCAACAAAGTTCGAAAGTTCGAACACCAAAACGACAAGCATGTAATTATGGTATTCTCTAATGCTAGATGATTTTGCTATTCGTATGTGATTTTAATTTTTGTTACAAGCTGTCATAATAATTATAAATCGTAAATGCTGATTTGTCTAAATATCTCAGGTTAGTATTTGAATGTCATTTTGACATTATTACAATTATAAACTCTATTAGAATATATTAAGCCCAATTTCAGAATTGTAAGGAATCAAAAACAATAAACTTACATTTACTGACATTTTAATATTCAAGTCATAATATTTAGGTAGGTATATATTTTAATGTTTGACTTATCTACTTCCGAAAATAGCCTTAAATGTCAAAACTTGAAGTACGAACAGCAAAACGCTACTCTTGTGTAAACTTTTTTGAATGCGCTTTACTTTTTTCAAATACGAACAACACAAGTAGAGAATACTAAAACGTTTGTGCTTTACAATTTTGCTAGTTGTCGCGTTTATGGAGAGAGCTGAGTGCTTTCAAAAACGCTGGTTAGACAATAAATCCCCTGTTTAACTCAGCTAAGTAGAAGGTTTCAATCTAGAATATGTCAATATTCGCTTCTAACATATTTATTTAAGATACCAAAAATTACATAAGTGAAAATGCATCAGAAGCAGTTGAAGTACCTATGTATCTAGTATTAAAATAATTCAATTTGGTGACATACATTTACATATAATATGTAGCCCATGCACAACTTCGGTTCCTATGGGATTTTCATTATATTTCTTTGAAAATAGACACTCCACTAACCAATTTTATCCTTTTTTTTTATTTATAATTACCACTTTTGATACTTTTATATTAAATTTTTTTATTAATTTTATATTGAATTTTTATATTTAATTCTTGTATTGTTTTTCAATTTGCGTTAATTGTATGTTAATACATTTTTGGATGAAGCTTAATTGAGTCTTAGATATAAAACATTTTTATCACACACAAGTTGTACATAGACAAAATTTAATTTGTGATTTTATTAGATGTATACACATACAGGAAGTTTTTCAGACATTATACATACTATGTAGGAATAAACTAGCTAGATACTGGCGTCAAATATCTGGAATTACTAATATTTGCTCTCGTGAAAAGAAAAACGAATTCATGATACAGATTTTCTATTCTTACATAAGTTGTTAAATGGTTGTAATATTACTTACCAGAAGTTACTTGGCCTCGCTGTAAATTTCTGATTCGGCCGTAAAAGATCAACTCGATACTTACAGCCTTTGGTACACAAATATCTATTTTATTTCTATAAATGTCATTAAAAATGTATGAAAAATGTATTTCTCATCTATAAAATTATTATTTATGATAAAGAAATATTTTAGTTTATAAGAACAAAAATAAAACCTGAATCGATAACAAATCACTGAAATTGTTGCTAGAGTTGGGGACGTTTTTATGGAAAATTGTAATGTTACTATTTTACTAATAAAGCTACTGTTAATTTATCTGAGCATTTTATTTAAATATAAATATATTATCTGAATGAAATTAATGCCGCTAGTCAAGGTTTAAAGGCCTCGTCACTTCAACCTTTTTATACTTCTAGTTTATAATTTATAGATTGGTGCCTATCCATTATAAATTACTTTCAAAGCATATAATACGTTTGTTTATTCTTAAGAAATGATAAAATCTATTACATACCAATTTTTTTTAATATTTTTAACTGCCTTAATTCCTATTTTTTGACATCCCTCGTATATGCTAAAAAAATTTAAAATTTATCACTTCAAGTGGTAAGAATGCCACCTTTAGGTATATAAGGGAGAAGTAAATTAGATTTTTTTTATTGTTGAGTTTCAGAAATATTAATTTCTCCTGGTCATAAAATAAGTACATGAAATGATTAAAACGGACCTGCAAAGGCACTTTGTGCGCCAATCTCACCAGTACTCCTGTGACCTAATTGGTAAATTCAGTTTGGCTTACTTTTGTCAATAGGGATTGTTGTTCCATTTTAAATATACAGTTTACTGATATCTACCTATAAACAATATTAACAGTGTAATTATTTGAATTATAAATATCGTTTATTACATTTGAATAAAAAATAGAAATTAATTTTTGTAAAATGCAATTTTATGCATTAGTTGCATTGTTCTTTAAATTTGTTATTGACAAAATAATTACAAAAGAATGCTTTGGATTCTGATGAAAAAACTATTTGATACGCCCGTGGAGACCACGGCTGTCAAAAGTTCGTAGATACTGGCTTCAAACAAAGCCTATGTTAAACTGCGCCCGTAACACATCTATATTTAATTTGTTTATTTGAGATAAATATACATTAAGCAGGGAAACGGGAGGTGAAAGTTTGAATGAGACTTTTGGTTTTTTAAATGTAAAAACTTGAAATAGTAAATAACGGCGTATTTCAAGGTTTTTGAATTTTGACATTAAGCAGAGAAGAAATGGGGAGTATCGTAAAACTAAATAATAAATAAAAATTAATAAAAATTGATAAAAAATATTAAAAAATTAACAAAATTGATAAATCTTTTAAAGAAAATAATAAAAATTAATAAAAGTTAATAAAAATTAGTAAAAATTAATAAAAATTAATAAAAATTATTAAAAAATAATAAAAATTAATAAAACATAATTAATTAAAATTAATTAACTAAAATTAATTAATAAAATTAATTAAAATTGATTAAAATTGATTAAAATTAATTAAAATTAATTAAAATTAATTAAAATTAATTAAAATTAATTAAAATTAATTAAAATTAATTAAAATTAATTAAAATTAATTAAAATTAATTAAAATTAATTAAAATTAATTAAAATTAATTAAAATTAATTAAAATTAATTAAAATTAATTAAAATTAATTAAAATTAATTAAAATTAATTAAAATTAATTAAAATTAATTAAAATTAATTAAAATTAATTAAAATTAATTAAAATTAATTAAAATTAATTAAAATTAATTAAAATTAATTAAAATTAATTAAAATTAATTAAAATTAATTAAAATTAATTAAAATTAATTAAAATTAATTAAAATTAATTAAAATTAATTAAAATTAATTAAAATTAATTAAAATTAATTAAAATTAATTAAAATTAATTAAAATTAATTAAAATTAATTAAAATTAATTAAAATTAATTAAAATTAATTAAAATTAATTAAAATTAATTAAAATTAATTAAAATTAATTAAAATTAATTAAAATTAATTAAAATTAATTAAAATTAATTAAAATTAATTAAAATTAATTAAAATTAATTAAAATTAATTAAAATTAATTAAAATTAATTAAAATTAATTAAAATTAATTAAAATTAATTAAAATTAATTAAAATTAATTAAAATTAATTAAAATTAATTAAAATTAATTAAAATTAATTAAAATTAATTAAAATTAATTAAAATTAATTAAAATTAATTAAAATTAATTAAAATTAATTAAAATTAATTAAAATTAATTAAAATTAATTAAAATTAATTAAAATTAATTAAAATTAATTAAAATTAATTAAAATTAATTAAAATTAATTAAAATTAATTAAAATTAATTAAAATTAATTAAAATTAATAAAAAAATTTGCTAGGTATCCCATGAAAAAAATTCTCTCGAGTAACGAACTGTTATTCACTTTTAATAATTGAAATTTGAAAAATTCCAGCGAAGCGGAATCGGGTCAGCTAGTTACTAATAAAATTAGGTCAAACTTTAAACTATGTAATATTTTTTCTTGTCAGAGAGCACTAAAAAAAAATAATGCAAAGAACAATGATATTGCTGAATTCCTTAAAAAATACCTTTTTCAAAACGATGCTATCCCTATTTAAATTGTATTAGAATGACAGAAGACAAAAAATTAAACACATTTGGCTTGTTAAAAAAATATCCTTCAAGATATTCAATATCATTTACATGGTTTGAGAAGGAAACTAGTCGTGAAATAAACTATATATTAAAATGCCTACATACAGCCAAAGAAAAATAACATTTCCTATCTTAAAAATATGTTCCTGAAAATTCACTTTTTTCACATTCCTCCTACTTTCACTAAAAATATTTTTAATCCTTTTTATTATTTTTCAATTCGCCATACTTACAACATAATCTCTAGCTCTACACATCAACTCTGCAGGTACACCACTAGTTGCAGAGAAAGTATTGGCAGGATACAGGACATCAGATTTTACAACCCAGTTACCTCTAACAAGCACAGCAACAGTAGGAAGGACTTTGAGTAAGGCATCTGCAGTTAACTTTTCTCCGCCAGTCAACAGCATAAGTAATTGTTGAAATTTGATAATTTGTGCTACAAAAATAAAGAATATGGTCGTTAAATAATGACAAACTATTTTTTAAGTGTTTAATTAAAATATACATTTCTTCCTCTCAACTTTGTACACGTAGTAAAATTAACATCAAACTCGTTAATCAAATGCCCTGTACCGTATAAAGACAAAGTTAAATTCATTTATGCCACTCATGCATGCCACTTCTATATCTGCTAATAGTATTAAATTTGTTTGAAAGTATTGTAACGTTTGTTTAATTTATTTATAATTCTAATTTATTTAAGGAGGTCCTTTCGCCACCCCTTTCGCCACCAATGTTAAATAAAAAATATTAGATTATGACTAAAATTAATTTTTTTTCTAATAGTTGAAGTCCTTATTTATCTAATGTTGAACTTTTAACTATACCTTACCGTGCAAATTTTTGAGAATTTTTTTTTAAAAATGTGAATATTTGTGCAGTATCTTATGAGAAAATAAGACCTCAACAACAATTCTCGAATTATATTATTATTTATTGATTAGATGGAGTAGAAAAAAACTAAAAATAGGGTTTTTGAAATATTTAGGTTTTGTTTTTTACAATAACATATATAGGTTACTTTGGAATTTATTGAGAAATTAATATTAAAAAAAAAATTGAAGTAACCTAGTTGAAATTTTTTTGTGATTTTTTAATATTAATTTCTCAATAAATTCCACGGTAACCTATATATTTTATTGTAAAAAACAAAACCTAAATATTTCAAAAACCTTATTTTTAGTTTTTTTCTACTCCATCTAATCATTAAATAATAGTAAAATTAATTATAATTCGAAAATTGTTGTTGAAGTCTTACTTTCTCGTAAGACACTGTACAAATACACACATTTAAAAAAAAAATCTCAAAAATTTGCACGTTAAAAGTTTACTATTAGATAAATAAGGTCTTCTACTATTAGAAAAAAATTAATTTTAGTCATAATCTAATATTTTTTTATTTAACATTGGTGGCGAAAGGACCTCCTTAACACATTTACTTATATTAATTTATATAGCATTTACTTTATCGATGTTCTCACTGCTATAACACAATTCGACTGACTGACTTCCTGTGCAACACAGACCATTTATATACAGGGTGAGTCGGGAGGAGCGCACCAAACTCTAGGAGTATATTATACACGTGAAAATAATGTAAAAAAACTCATATATTCTTATTCGATTTTCATTTGTTTTCAAGTTATAGCATATTAACAAATAAACAAATTTACACATAAAAATTCTCTTAATCATAGCGTTCTTTCAATAAATGTTCAAAAATACCGCCATTGACTTCTAAACATTTTCTGCTTCGTCTACGAAGAGCGTTTGTTGCTCTCCTAATTGATTCATTTCTTTCTTTTTTAATATGGGCTGCAGTATTCTCAATTCGTCTAATTAGTGCATCCCGTGTGTCCACTTTTATTTTGTAGACTTCATTTTTCATCCACCCCCATAAACAAAAATCTAATGGTGTGAGGTCTGGAGATCTTGCAGGCCAATTAATAAGACCTCCCAGACCAATCCAACGCCCTGGAAAACGTTCGTACAAATGTTGCTTGACCTGACGAGCGACATGTGCAGGAGCTCCATCGTGCTGATAGTACATCTGCATTCTAATATTTACAGGAACACCGACAAAACTCCATACGGTTAGCGTAATCCTGTGGTTGTAGGTGCTGTACTCTCTGTGTGTGATAAGGATATAAGCCTTGCTCGTGGAGTGTGTTTATCACTCTTTTTTGTGGAATTCCCAATTGAGTGGCAATTCTCCGTGAGCTAGTAGTTGCATCTTTTTCTACTAGATGCAGAATATTTTCTACTTCTACAAAACCTTGTCGAGTAGCGCGTTAGGATGTTATGAAAGCACTGGGAAGCTTACCAGTCTCGCACAATTTGTTGAAAACTCTAATAAATGCGTTTTTATTAGGATGTCTTCGGTGTGGAAAACGTTGACGATATTCTTCAGCAGCAGCTGTAGCATTTCCATTACAGAAACCATAAACAAACACCATATTTGCATATTCTAAATTTGAATAAGTATCTGGCATTTTGCAACACTAACAATCATATAAATTCGAAATTAAACGTTCAGTTACTGTTCACTGCACACTGACAGTTCATCAAAACGTCAGAATTATCAAATGCCTTTGAGCCTTGAACATATGGCATACTTTGATAATGTTGAAATTCAGAAGTGGAAAGCTAGATGAACATTTTTAATTACGCCACAACTTGAAAACAAATGAAAATCGGATAAGAACATATGAGTTTTTTACATTATTTTCACGTGTATAATATACTCCTAGAGTTTGGTGCGCTCCTCCCGACTCACCCTGTATAAATTGGTGAACGCGCTAGATTATTGTTGTTCTCGCCATTTATTAGACAGGAGCATTTCTCGAATTTGCTTCTATAAAGGGCTATAGTACATGCCCGAATGAATGATTCATATCGGCTATCTGTGACCATAGGCTTTTCTATAATTGGGTAAAGGGGGTTTATCACCTTCATCAAATATTCCTGGTTTTAAGGACAAGTGGGGTGGTAAAAAAGCCACAACAAGGCAGATGGGCCCAAAGGATCAGAGCATGACCAGACTGGTCGGAAATTTATCACGTTACAGTATCCTTGAAAGAAATATTGAAACGACCCAGGGTTATAAATAACAACATTATTTTAAAATCTATATAATTAACTCTTTTTATCATTCACAAACATCAACTTGACTGATCCCAACTTATCTCCATATCCCATTAAGCCGGGTTCATGGGCACTGGCGTAACACTGTTCCCCTTCTCGAATGAATTCATTTCCGTCGTCTGGTTTAAGCCACTTGGGAGGATCTTTACCATCATATTTGGCAAGACGCCCTATATAAACAACCTTTGGTTTGTTCCTTGGTGATAATTGGATACGATAGACCAAGTCATTGATGTGCTTTATTATAGTGTAGGGACCTTCCCAGTTCCGCTGAAGTTTTGGAATGCGACCTTTCTTTCTTCTCGGGTTATAGAGCCACACTGCATCACCTCTTTCGAATTTTGACTCATTTGTTTTGCAGTCTAACCTTGTCTTCATTCTGTCACTTGTGATTTTAATATGTTTTCTTGCAAATTCCTGAATCTGATTGAGTCGATCCAGTAATTCTTGGATAAATTTAGGAATTTTGACTTTGTCTAAATTTGGAGGATCAGAACCGGTTAAACTATCGATGGTTAACCTTATATCTCATCCAGTGGTCAACATTGCTGGAGTATATCCTGTTGATTCATGAACCAAACTGCGATATGCTAGCAGGAATATAGGAATCAGTTTATCCCAGTCATTTTGATTGTCACATATAACTATTGATAGATACTGACAGATTGTTCTATTATATCGTTCTAACATACCATCGGATTGGGGATGAAGAGGAGTTGTTCTTGTCTTCTTTGTACCCAACCTATTCATTACGGCCGACCATAATTCGGACTCAAAATTACTACCTTGGTCAGAGTGTACTTCTAGTGGGACCCCATGTCTTGAAATAACGTTTTCAATAAAGGATTCGGCGACTATTTTAGCTTCTTGATTGGGTAAGGCAGCTACTTCGGGCCATTTTGAAAAGTAATCCATCGCGACCATTAAAAATGTATTCCCAGAATCCGTTGTTGGCAACGGTCCAAGAATATCTACCGCTACCCTTTGGAAAGGCGTTCCAGAGAGATACTGGGCCATTTTGCCTCTACTTCTTGTCGGTCCTTTCTTCGATGTACATAAATCACAGCTTCTGCACCAATCTTCCACATCCCTTCTAGAGTTTATCCAATATTCTGGATAAAGTTTTTCTTACTCCAAAATGACCCCCAGTTAGACTATCATGAAGTTGCTTCAAAACTTCCTTCTTCGCTACACGAGGCACGATCAATTGGTAGACGACCGATGTTCCATCAGGGCTCTCCCACTTGCGATGACGCAATAATTTATCTCTGATTTTCCCAAGGTCTTACTGAAATATTCAATTACTCTCTCCTCGCCATCTTGTTCCTGAGATAGGACGGCTCCCAGTCCATGTTGCGAGGCATCGCAATCTAATATGAATCCACCATTCTCTCGAGGATACGCCAAAATGGGTGCGGCAATTAACCTCTTCTTCAGCTCCGTAAAAGCTTGCTGGCAATCTAATGTCCAGTCAAACGGAATATTATTTTCTGTTAGGCGATGGAGGGGTTTGGTAATTTTTCCGAAGTCTAACAAATTTTCTATAGTAAGTACATAATCCAAGTAAGCTTCGCAGTTGGTGTTTATCTTTGGGTCAAGGCCAGTCTCTTATTGCGTGCGTTTTAGATGAATCCGTTTTTATTCCTTCTGCAGATACAATGTGACCAAGGTACAACACCTCTTTTTGGAAAAAGAAACATTTTTTAGGATTTAACAGGAGATTAGCGTTTCTTAATCTCGAGAAAACTTCGTTTAAGTTTGTAAGGTGGTTGCTGAAGTCAATTCCTAGTACCATGACGTCGTCCAGATATAAGAGACATGTAGACCAGGTTAAACCTCGGAGAACTAATTCCATTAGTCTTTCGAAAGTAGCTGGTGCGTTGCAGAGGTCAAATGGAAGACTTTAAACTGATAAAGCCCATTTCCAGTTGAAAATGCGGTTTTCTCTTTTTTATCTTCTGGGTGAACCTCTACTTGCCAATACCCACTCTTTAGGTCTAGCGTTGAAAACCATTTCGAACCAGACTGGGTTAATTAGATGTCATCAATTCTGGGCACCGGAAAACTATCTTTCTTTGTCACTTCATTAAGTCGGCGGTAATCGACGCAAAATCTAATAGACCCATCTTTCTTGATAACTAATATTATTGGTGATGACCAGGGACTTGATGACTCTTCAATGACGTCTTCTTCTATAATTTTTGTTACTATACTTGCAACTTCTTTTTGTTTTGCAAATGGTAGTCTTCTATGAGCTTGTCGGATGGTATGAGCGTCGCCAGTGTATATTCG